CCTGCGGGAATGATTTGGAAGAGCCAAAACCAAAAATAGTGGTATTTGCTAGCAACAACATAATGGAGGCAGTCAATCAATATAGATTGATCCGAAATCTGATTCAAACAACTTAAATGAGATATGATAGCTTCTTTATGTTCTAACATTCTTGCCAATACATTATCCTCATTATGTTCCGGATTGTAATCCCTAATAAAAAATAAAACAATCAACCAACGGTTACAAAAAAAACCACAATAACCCATGGGTTGGTCAAAATCCCAAAACCAACATTTGGCTCCAATCCAATTCATCAAACTTTTCAACTTAATTGACTAATTCAATAAAAAATATCATGAATCCCGAAAACACATTTTAAATAGTTTTAAGCAATCTGATGCAACAAATCTCACTAAAATGCACCCAACAAATCAATCATAAGCATTTCTCAAATATTTATAACATTAATATACCAAGGTACAATAATGTCAGATAATCACCATTATATGCAATATATCATCAAAATATCACACGTTATAATTTGTTTACAAAATGTCTAAAAAACCCAAATGTAAGTATTTTACAAACTTTTATGAAGTCAGATTGTACTAAAGATGAAATTTCATCACATTTGATATTAATAATATCAAGGAAAATGTTTCAAGACTCCAAAATGAATATTTTTGGTATGTACATATTTTTTACAAAACAACTTGAAACTCAACTTACTAGGTTAAGTTAAACCTAGTTTTCAAAAGATGACAACTTGAATCCCTGAGCAAGGATCTTAGAAATCTTCTCAAGGCAACAACCCAAGACTAGAAATGTCAAATCCAAAATGATCCCTCAAGTATATACTACAACAAAATAGGGTTTACAGGACACTCGCAAATTCTAAGTGTCATAATAGACCTCTTTATAAGATTTAGTTTATAAGACCAAAAAAATAAAATGTTCTAGCTAAAAACGTTGTAATAAGTTTATCTGACCTTTTTTTTAACGTCGTAATAAGTTTCAAGACACTTTTAATATGAAGCGTCCCATTAGCAACTTTATAGGACACTATTTGAAAATTTGTCTTATAAAAACAAATGTCATATAAAAAATTGAGTTTATAGCACATTTTCTCAAAAGTGTCATATAAAGTTGCTGATACGATATTTTGTATTAAAAATGTCCTCCAAAACTTGTTAAGACAATCAAAAGCATCATATAAACTTTTTACAACATCTTTAGATAAGACGCTTTATTTTTGGTCCTATAAAACGGTCTATTGGAACGCTTAGAGATTGGGAGCATCCTATAAACCCAATTTTGTTGTAGTGATAGAGCTAAAAATTACTCAAGAAACTTACCTCTTCAAGAACTTGAAACCTTCCACCCAAAACTCCACAATGAAGGTGTAATATCCCATAATTTACATAAAACTAATAACCAAATGTGTTGATTCAAGTTTGAAAACCTTATAAACTTAGAGGGACTAATTTTGTCAATAGTGAAAACTTTAGAGATTTGGATAATGCTTCATGGTTTTAGTCTCTTACCCCAATTAGGGCTTTGTTTCTTTTAACCTTAGCTATAAAACCAGTGAAGCGACTTAAACCTTAAAGTTTGTTTGATATGTCTAAAATATTAAATACATTAGATTATAATGTAATGAATCTATAGGCATAGAAGTCGGTTTTATTTGATATAAGTGGAATGACAGTTCCTAGTTCTAACTTGAAATAGGCGTTGGGTTTTTATAGGCAATAAGCTGTGGAAACTTGGAGTCGGGCATAGGCCATTGATCAATATAATGTAATTTCTAAATGAAGAAGCTTAACTAGGATTTCAAGGATCCTAAGGTATAGACCTAGTGTGGTTGAACTTGGTGACTCCACAAGAAAAATACTGGGAGTAATTGAGCTTGTTAATTCATTAAACTATAAACCTGGAGTGGTTGATCTTAGTGAATATTAAATGTGTAAATGATGCTTATATAACAATGGATACTTGGCTTACTTTTGTGTTCCCTCACTATCAATGGTAAATCGGGTCTCTCCTAGAGATGAAAATTTTACCCGTTGGTACCCGACCTGCCGACACTAACGGGATGGGATTCCTCGGTTTGACGGGTAACAGGGCGTGGGAAGGGGATTAGTTTTCATACCCAAAGCGGAGTCGGGGTGAGGTTGGAGATGGCATTACCTCCCCTAATCTAACCCCGATCAATATTTTTTTATTTTAATTAATATATGTATATAGTGTGTGTAGATATATATATATATATATATATATATGCATTTATTATTAAATGACAAATATATTTTGATCTTCAATATTAACAATTAATATAGTGGCGATTCATGATGATTTTAATTTTAAAATAGATTGTTTTTTACTAAACGAGTACCCAACAGGTCCCCGAACCAGCTGGGGATTCCTTCCCCCAAACCCCCATTGGGGATTAGTCGGAGCGGGGGATGAGGGTCTTAAACGAGGGTCGTGGATGGGGATGAGAACAGGGGATGCATTACCCTCCCGATACCTACCCCATTTCCATCCCTAGTCTCTCCCGTCATCATAAGATGTATTCTGCCCTTACAAGGGAGATGTTGGTTTAAAATGGATGGAGTGACTTGATTAAAGCTATGTTTTCGGTTTAATGTTTCATAGCAATATCCTTTAACTGTTTTAACTCACTTGGCGTAAGCCTAATATTTTTTTTCTTAAATGACATGTATATAATGATATCAAGGTAGCGGGGCCACTAATGCCGGAGTGGAGTGATAATTGCCGAGATAGGCATTTTGGGTCATCGTCTTTTGAAGGACAATTCGAGTTACTTATTATAGATTATTTTGATGATTGCAGTGACACCCCGATCGCAATCTAAATCTAGAATTGGTTTAGATTAGTAGGTTGTTAGCTACCGTTCAATATTTTGAATGTAAACTCTTATACAATTTCTATGTTGTTGGGTGATTTCATTTAATTAATTATTTCTTCTGTCTTATTATTTCGATTTAAATTAGCTCCTATTTTAGGGGTGTTACAAATAAGCCGCAACTGGACAACTTTTTATAGTTGAGCGAATAAGCTATAACCCTTATACAACCCATGAAACTCCTTCTGAACAACTCCTTAGGTTGCATGGCAAACCAACTTGACACTCTGCTTTGTGTTTTTAAGTTGTTTTGCGCCTTCTCGTGTGACCAAACTTGTATGGGAGGCCCCTTAATGCCCAAATGGCTTTTGACACAACTTTTCTTCATCCCCATTCAACCGCGACCCTCAATTTAAATGCCGCAAACATTCCATAACGGCTAGACACCAAATGACTTGCTAAAACAAATCTATACCCTTAAACAATTAACTGCAAAAATACGGGTGTTACATATTTGTCAAGGGGTCATCCTAGGTCCATATATTTTTCGTGAATGGTGTTACATGTCTATATGAATCACAGAACTTCTAATTTGAATCAAGAACCATGACAACTGATGACCAACAAGCTATATGAATCACAAAACTTCTAATTGGGATAATAAAAGAAAGATGTTGTTTAATTTAAGAAAATGCAACATTTCTATAAACTTTACTTACAAATAAATGAAAACAAATATTCTAGATATTCATAAAAGTAATTACAAGAATCAAATCAAGAGATGTGATATGGTGTATTACAATCTTCAATCTTTATCTTCATGAGACTATTTTTTACACTTGAAATTTTACAGTAAAATGCTGTAAAGGTAACCTTCACGATATTTTTGCTGTGAAAATTCGATTTTTTTTCTTTTACAATCTTTTGTTGTAAAATTTTATCTTCATATTTTACTTATTACATAGGTTATTTGTTAAATACGATACACTATTTCCTTGTCCCACAACAGATTACAAATTCGGCGTCATAAACCCCGTCTGATGATTCGCAACAAGAAACCCAAATTCAAGTTTCAATCTTTAACCACTCCACTCGACAAAGAAGCAATATTGAATCAAATCCCATCTCAACAATAGTCGATACCGCTCCCAAATCAAAACCCTAACATTGTTCTTGAGCTTAGAGATCAATGACTTTGTCAGAGATCGAAATTGTATCAGAGTCTTCAAAAGACAACAAGAACAACAAGAACGACACCGCAGCAGCAGGAGGAGGACAAGTTCCGCCAGAAGTGGTGCTGATCTTTGACGTGTTTGGGGCTTCTGCTTACGGTGATCTGCAGAAACTGCGGAAGTTCGTTGAAGAAGATGGCGTTTCTCTCTCTCAACCAGATGGTAATGGCTACTACCCCCTTCAATGGGCATCTCTCAATAACTTCGCTGATGTTGCCCAGTATATTATCGAGGTATGTTTTCAGTAACTTCTGCATTGAAATGCAAGTTTTCCTTTCTTTAATTTTTACCCCTTTAACGAGTTAGATCCATTTCTAAATTTGGATTATGATTTATGATAGAGTACTTGATTTGCTAGTGATTTAGTTATTTTGTGTTTGTTGTAATGTACAAAATTGAATGATATCTGAATGTTAATTCAAGGAAATTGTTGTAGTGCATCATCATACTCATTTGGTTTCATAGTTAAACTTCACTTTAATTAATTTGCCAATAACTTTTTGGAATCTTTTTGAAGTGTGTGATATGATTTTGAAGTGGAACTCTTAAACGTTATGGATTTAAAAGGAAATTGTTAAAAGGTCATGTAACCAAAGGACCCGATTGTTAAATTACTTTGGAGTTTGTTTTGTTGGTGATGTAGCATGGTGGGGATGTGCACACAGTTGATAATGTGAGGCAGACAGCATTGCATTGGGCTGCTGTTCGTGGTTCAGTAGCGGCAGCGGATGTATTGTTGCAGAATGGAGCTCGTGTTGAGGCGGTTGATGTAAATGGTTATCGGGTAAAAGTTTCACCCTTTTTTTTATTTTCAAAAGTGATTGTGTTATTGTGATTATGTATGATGCATGTTGGATTGACTTGTAATGTAGTTTCTTGGATTTGTAACCAGCCAAACATTCTTTAATTGCATACCAACAATCAGTAGTTTAGGTTTTGAGGAGTGTATAACAAATGGGTGTTCATATATTGGTTATCAACTGTTAAAGAAAGGCGTAAATCAATATTTGGTTTTGGGATTCTCTTTTGAGAGGAGGAACCATTTTGGCCTAAAATGACGAGAAGGGTTTTTCTCCAAGGCCTAAGTTTCCCATGAAATATTTGCCCCTTTGGGTATATCTTAGGTTGCTTTGTTGTGCATTTCAATAAGGCATAGCATTATAACCATGTTTACACAAGTTAAAAATGCTAACTCCTAAAGTTAACAAATTGGAACAAGTGTCATCAACTTAGGTTTTTTACTTGGCAATACATCTTTATTTTGATCATCTTTACATGCATCCATCTCTCTGTTTCCCAATGTTCTCAATTATGAACTTCACTGCAGGCAGTTCATGTTGCAGCTCAATATGGGCAAACATCATTCTTGAATTTCATAGTGGCCAAGTATCATGCCGATTTTGATGTACCAGATAATGACGGAAGGACCCCTCTTCATTGGTATGCTAAAAATATCTCCTTTTTTCGTTTGTGGATGAACACTTGGATTTTAAACTATATATGGAAATTGATCAACTTCTATGCAGCTCTTGGATTTTTAAAGTTTCTTTTTTTTCTCTTTCCATTCTATCTCTCTCCTTGGCACCCTTAATAAGGACGGTATTAAGGATTTGCAGGACCAAAGGTTCCATTTTTTTTATGGTTTTACGGCTGGTTATATGTATTGATATGAGTATGGAAGTACTTAGATTTAATTGAATATTTGCGACGTATGAATATGATAAAACTTTAATCGAAATATCTGAATCAGAGAATTTGCTTCTATTGTTCTCAATCAGGGCTGCTTATAAAGGGTTTGCAGATACAATTAGATTACTTCTTTTTTGGGATGCCTTCCAAGGAAAACAAGATAAAGAAGGTATTTGTCTGTTGCTCATAATTTATTATTAGCATAATATGCTTCTAGGTTCTAGCTACAAGAAGATATATAGAAGTCAAGATACGATTTTGCATCTTCTAGCAATGGCACACCAAACGTTATCGATCAATTAGACATTTATCTTGCTTGCAATATCCTTGTTTATTTATTGAGCTCCTATCCTATGTTTTAGTTGTATTAATTTGTGATATGGTTGACACTCTCTTTGAATCTACATGTACATTTTGACTTTTGCAGCCAAATAGATCATTTTTGTGAATTAGGACTCTTTGTTCTTCATATGGAAAAAATTGCTATGCTTGATCCTATGCTCATATTAGTACATGTTATTTACCAACAGGAAAGTTCCCATAACACCCTTAAATATTCAAAAGTAAGCGAATTTTATGGACAAAACTATATCAAAGCACTTGAGTAACGAACAACACACGGAATAGATAAGTACAACTTAATTATTTCCAAACAATGGAAATGTTGCAACTCTTGCCAGACCCCACACTGTGACGCCTGTAGTAGTTTGTTTGTAGAAGTTAGAAGCTCCAAGCTCGTGTTCTCTCATAGAATCTGGACTCTCAGGTCACAAAGTACTTAAAACAAACCAAGCAAGATCAGTATATCCCACCTGGAGGTGGGGTGTGGGGACGGTGAGATGTCCAGGCCTCTACTTCCAAGGGTAGAGGCGTAGAGCAGCTGTTTCCGTCAAAAAGACGAACTTAAGAATATGCAGAACTCCTATATGGCGGGAACTCAATCAATCAACAAGTCCACGTGAGAGATGACCCAAAGTGAAAAAAAGTTTCATGACTGTATATACTTCACTATGTACATGAACACCTGTCCGCTGATGCTAAAGAAGTTAATGACTTTTTGTTTGATGGGTTATATTTCTATGTTAATATGGAATATATTTTTGGTTAGGTTGCACCGCTTTGCATTGGGCAGCGTTGAGAGGAAATGTGGAGGCTTGTGTTGTACTTCTACATGCGGGGACAAAACAGGAATTAACGGTAAAAGATAGTGCTGGATTTACTCCTTCACAGATTGCAGCAGATAGAGGCCATCATCATGTTGCCTCAATCCTTGTACGTATCTTTTTTATGATAATATCTTTGACAATATAAGTTTTCTACTATTTATGAAATATTTATAGTACCATATGCTTTTAAATATGAGTGACTGCCTTTTGAACCATCATATTTGCCTTTTCATTGCAAACTAAAAATCGTTCTTGCGAAAATTAGAGTACACACAATAGTTTGCAAGAACGAGCATTTGGGCAAATTGTGCAAAGTAAATGTAACAGAAACGTAGTACTTGATGTTTTTTTTTGTCCAAAATCACTCATTCTTGCAAATGGTAGTTCTCTTTTCTCTTTTTGTTCTTTTATGCATTTTCATAAGAATCATTGTTTGCTTGCAATGAAAAAGCCAAGTATGATGGTTCAAAAAATTAGTAACTTCTAATATTAGGTGTTAAGATGGCGTTTTTACCACAAGATATTCAGCTTTTAATATACTCCCTCCGTCCCAAAATAAGTGTCCACAATTTCTATCTTAGTTTGTCCCAAAATAAGTGTCCACTTTCAAAAGTAAGTGCCTACTTTCCAATTCTACCCTTGCTTATGAGATGGAGAAATCAATTACTCCCTCTATTATTAAGGGTAAACTTGTCATTAAGTTAATTATAAAGTGCAATAATGATGTAAATTGGTAACAATTGACAAATTGAATATTGAAATTGAAACAGAAAATGGTAGGTTCCAGACTTTTGAGAGGTCTGGTGCTCTCCCTAAGAGCTTTCATTCAGTTTGAATGTACAAAACAGAATGCCTACCACTAACAACTTTTCCCCACTTAAAGGAAACTTTCTCATGCGCCTTATTCCACCGAAGAGTACCAAAAATACCCTTCTCTTATTTACATTAACAACTAAGACCCTTTAACCATTTAGACTCTCTTCTTGTAAGTAAAACGAATAGGAGGCTTATCAATACCTCCCTCTAAAACTTTCACCTTGTCCTCAAGGTGACTGTTGGGAAACTGTTGAATCAAAGCTTCTAAATTCTCCCAAGTAGCTTCAAAATCTGATAACCCCTTCCATTTAACCAAAACTTCTAAGCTTCCTGGGTAACCTTGCACCATTGCTCTTGCATCTAACTGAGATTCAAGTACCATCTCTTCAGTCAATTGAGTTGGAATGCCTTTCGAAGATGCACAATTTCCCACAACTTTTCGAAGTTGAGACACATGGAAAACAGGATCACCCCTTCGGTAAATCCAAACGATAAGCGACTTTACCAATCTTCTCCAACACTTTATAAGGACCATAGAATCTTGCCAACAATGTTGGGCTATTCCCTTTAACCAAAGATTTATGTCGGTACGGTTTCAATTTCAAGAACACCCACTCACCCGAAACCAAGTCCAGTTCTGTCCTTTTGAAATCAACATGTTTCATTCTGCATTGAGCTTTCAAGAGATGCATTCTCACTTCATCCCAAATCTCATCCTGATTCATCAATTCGACATCAACCGATTGGACTATAGAAGAGAAACTCTTATATCTCAATAGCGGGGGTGGATCTCGGCCATATAACACTTTGAAAGGAGAACATTTAAGGGCTGTATGGAAAGCTGTATTGTATGACAATTCAACCCATGGTAACCATCTACTCCACTGACGAGGTCGATCTGAAATCCAACATCTTAAGTATTGTTCCAGCCCCTTATTGACAACTTCTGTTTGCCCATCCGTCTGCGGATGATAGGCTGTGCTGAACTTCAAAGTTGTCCCTTGCAACTTGAATAACTCTTTCCAAAATATACTTTGGAACGCTTTATCACGATCAGAGATTATAGAACTTGGTATGCCATGCAAGCGTACAATTTCTTTGACAAAAATCTCTGCTACGGAATGAGCTGTAAATGGATGCTTCAGTCCCACAAAGTGAGCGTACTTGCTGAACCTATCGACCACCACCAGAATAGAGTTCATTCCTCCCGAAGTAGGCAATCCCTCAATGAAATTCATCGAGATATCGTTCCATACATTACGCAGAAGTGATAACGGTTGTAGCAGACCTGAAGGAGACCCACTTAACACTTTGTTTCTTTGGCACGTTTCACTTTCTTTCACCATATTTGACACATCCTTTCTCATGCCTACCCAGAATAATTCCACTGCCATTCTTTGATATGTTCTTCCTCCCTATTATGACCACCAATGGGTGTCGCATGAAATTCTTCGAATAATAAGGGAATAATCTCCGATTTCCTAGGCACCACCAATCTGCCTTTAAAGAATAACAGATCTTGCTGCAACTCAAACCCTTTATGCGCACTTGCATCTTCCAATAAGTCTGCTTTTATTTTCATCAAGAACTCATCTTTTTCCAGCTCTTTTTTAATATTTTCCCACTGCCTCCATGATGGTATACTCAAATTCGAACATTCCAAGCTTTTTTCCTTATGGGAGAGTGCATCAGCAGCCTTATTTGCACTCCCCTGTTTATACACAATCGAGAGATTGTATCCCATCAGCTTACTCATCCATTTCTGATATTTCGGTTCCACCACACGCTGTTCCAACAGGTATTTCAGACTCTGTTGGTCGCTGCGAACTGTAAAGTGTCGGCCCAACAAATAAGGTCTCCATTTTTTAACTGCTAGAACAATAGCCATAAGTTCCTTCTCATATGTCGACTTCTGCTGAGCTCTCGTCCCCAGCACCTGACTAAAGTAAGCCACAGGTTGTTCGTTCTGCATCAGAACAGCCCCCAAACCAAATCCCGAAGTGTCTGTCTCCACCACAAAATCTAACGAAAAATCAGGAAGTTTAAGCACCGGAGGTGAGGACAAACTCTTCTTTAACTTTTCAAAAGCCATTTGTGCCTCCTCGGTCTAATCAAATTGATTTTTCTTTAACAAATCCGTGAGAGGACTAGCTATAACTCCATATCCTTTAACGAACTTTCTATAATATCCCGACAATCCCAGAAAACCTCTTAATTCCGACACTATATGAGGCACTTTCCAATCTAGTATTGCCTTAATTTTAGAATCATCAACCTCTACTCCTTTACTAGAAATGATGTGGAAACACTACCGACCGAATTCGCATTTCTTCTTATTGGCATACAATTTATAATGAGACAACAAATCAAACACTTGTCTCAAATGACCAAGATGCTCCTCCATTGATCGGCTGTAAACCAATGTATCATAAAAAAAAAAGCTAGCACAATTTTCTCAAACAATTCTTGAAAACTTCATTCATCAGCCCTTGAAATGTAGAGGGTGCATTTACTAAACCAAAGGGCATTACCTTGAATTCATAGTGACTTTGGTGCGTCCGAAACGCCGTTTTTTGAATGTCTTCATCCTTCATACGAATACATCTATAACCGGTATAGGAAATTTATCTACAACGGTTGCCTTTTGATAATGAGGATAGCGATAGGGCCTTACATTAACTGCATCTGTACCCTCTTTCAAAATAATCCCATGCTCCTTGCCTCTCATCGGTGGTAACCCCTTTGGCATATTAAACACATGATCAAATTCTTTCAAAGCAGTTTGTACCGTTGGTAAAACTTCTTGGGACACTTCACTAATCAAYATACAAGCCCCAAACTCCACTAACACGGCTTGACCTTCCTGTTGGATTAGTTTTCCCATAGCCTTCAATGAAACTAAAGATTTACCCAAAGCTGGATCACCTTTCAATGCCACCGACTTTCCTCCGACCGTGAACTTCATAACCTGCTGCTTCCAATTGGTATAGGTTGCTCCCCAAAATCACATCACTATTACCCAATTGAATGGGCAAAACATCCTCGACAATGTCCAGACTTTGCATCGTCAAAATAACATATCTACAAATTCCATCTCCCATCACCTTATTCCCCGTCCCCATCGTTATCGTATATTCCTTCTTTTTATCGACCTTGAGATTCAATTTTTCAACAATCTCTTTCGAAATGAAATTGTGCGTCGCACCGCTATCGATGAGGATTACAACCTTTTGGTCTTCAATGAATCCTTCCATTTTCATGGTTTTAGGATTCGTTAATCCCACCACCGAGTTAAGATGAACCTCYACTTCCTGACCCACCTCGACCACATCAGCTGCGTTTAGCGCTGTATATTCGTCATTATTGTCACCCAATTCAATTACTTCCTCTCGAATCAACAGAACATTCAATTCCTTCTTCTTACACTTATTGCCCGGTGAATATTTCTCGTTGCAGCGATAACAGAGGCTCGCCTCTGTTGTACCTCCTGATCGGACAATCTTCTGTACTCAGATCCTGCTCTGTTTGTCGAATTAGCCATCGTATTTGAATTATTCCGTGAATTAGTACTTCCAGAGATACTCCTATTACCAGCAAACGTTGACAACGATTTCTTCGATCCTGAGATCGACCTCTCCTTTGCAATCACAACATTCTTCACTTCATTTTTCATTGCTATTTCCATCGCTTCCTCTAACGTTACTGGATTTAGGAGACGCATCTCTACCTTGATTGAATTCTCCAAACCGTTTATTAATTGACTCATAAACACTTCCTCTAGAATTCCTTCTAACGGTGCAACTCACTCTACGAATTTCATCTTAAATTCTTCCACCGTGCCTTCTTGTTTAACGGCCAGAAATTGTTCGCACAGAGTTCCTGTCGCTGTCGATCGAAATTGACGCAAAACCAGTCTACGAAGATCCTCCCATCGCAAAATTGGATGACGTCTATTCTCCCGTTGAAACCATTTCAGAGCTGCTCCTTCAAACGCTATGAAAGAAACATCAATTTTCTCTTCCTGTGATAATCGGTTCAGAGAGAAATAATGTTATGCTTTGAGAACCCAACCATCGGGATCGCTTCCGTCAAACGCTGGAATTTCAAGTTTTCGGTCTTTCACAGCTAGGAATCGACTCGATTCCTATTTGTCGTCGTTCCTCCTCTCCAAACTTTTCTGGATTGAACCGACGCTGCTTTCTAAATCTTCAATTCTTGTTGCCGCACTCCTTGTCGCCATGGCTGGATCTCACTGCTCTGATACCAATTTGATGTAAATTGTTAACAATTGACAGATTGAATATTGAAATTGAAACATAAAATGGTAGGTTCCAGACTTTCGAGAGGTCTGGTTCTCTCCCTAAGAGCTTTCACTCAGTTTGAATGTACAAAACATAATGCCTATCACTAACAACTTTTCCCCACGAAACTTTCTCACGCCCCTTATTCCACCAAAGAGTACCAAAAATACCCTTCTCTTATTTACTTTTCCCCACTAAGACCCTTTAACTATTTAGACCCTCCTCTTGTAAGTAAAACGAATAGGAGGCTTATCAAATAATTACATATTTAAAGAACTGTGTGCCTTTTTTCATTGTGGCCTTCTATTTTGGGACGGGGGAGTACCAAGCGTCCATCATCATGTGCATTTGTTCATATACATGCATCTATACCCGAAAGAGATGTGTTAATCAAACGCTTGTGCTTCAAAAACTTTCTTGATGGCATATCATTTTACTATATTCTGAACGGAGTGCAAAGAATTAGTTTTGTTTTATGACATTATATATTTATCGTGTGCAGTCTAATGCAAATCGTGCACGCAACAACTGTTGGAAAGACAAAGCTTGCATCAACAGAGTTGGGAATATAGGTTACGCTCCTATTCTATTCTGCATAGTATTTATCAGCATGATAGTCTTCATCAATTCTGTTCTTTTTGGTGGGTAAAACGACAATTAATAATTTGTTCTTTATTTTATTATTATTACTGTTATTTAATCATTGTAGAGAAGGATGCCATTTACTGTGCTAATCTGGATCTTGGCGTTTTCATCCATGCTAGCTTCTAATCTTCTAAAGGTCACTGCTGTTGTTGGGCTCTGGGGATGGACTGCTGTTTCTCTTTCGGTTGCTTCACTATTGATGTTTGTCCGCTGTAGCAGGTACCCTTTAATCGAACGACCATAAAATAGTGCTTTTGGCATTTATATGATAAAATTTGAAGAAAAAGTTGATTTTTTTAAAGTATATAACCAATTTTAAACGTGTTAGGTCGAGTAGCTGTCTTGCTTTTCTCTTATGCTTTGAATGTCCTTACTGTTTAATCTTTATTTCTTGTTGTTTACTGTGATTACTTGCTCTAATTGCTCTTCAATAACTCTTTTTAAACTTCATTTCTTGTTTTTTTGACATACAAAAAGTTTTTTTTCGCAAGCCGGGTTTTCGCATAAACGACCTCTCTACCCCTTGGGATTGCGGAACCGTGTGCGAACATTTTACCTTACCCTGACCCTACTTCAATGTGGGATCATACGGGGTTCGTTTAGTTGGTGTTTTTTCAACAAATTTTAAAAATGTAGTTACTGTTGATTGTTTGAATTCTGCTAGAAGGGTACTCGCGCAATACAGCGAGATACATCTCGATTTTAATGTTCTATTTTATTTTTTGTCTCTGTCGATGTTATAATACGATTTTATTTATTTTTAAGAAAGCAATAATATTTTAATGTTCTATTTTATTTTGTCTCTGTCGATGTTATAATACGATTTTATGTGTTTTTAAGAAAGCAATAATGATTTTATTTTTGAATAAAATATAAATTTGAAGATATCATAAAAATTTGAAAAAAATATATCAATATTAATATCAAATCAATTATTTAAAAGTTCTCATTTTTTATGTAATTTCTTTAATTTTTTTTTATTATAATTTAATTTAAGTTTAATGATGAAATAATTTATTTTTGGTTTAATAATATAACATTTTATAAAGATAATAATTAAGTATTATGTTAGAACTCAATGATTATCCTAATTATATTTTAGATTTTTTATATTTAAAATRAGATGTTTATCMTGTATTTGATTATGTTTATCTGCAGTTAGTTACACGAATTCAGATATGGAGCTTTAATAAGTTGTACTTACGCACGATGTACTTGTAATCTTGAGTTTTAAGTAATATGCATTATTAAACAGTACTTTACGCATAAAAAGTGGTTTTTAAGAGTTTTTGTCAAATGTTTTATAATATAGTATAGATTCGTCGTTTTTAGAAGTTTTCATGTTTGTCTTTTATGCATATAACTTCTTTCATAATTGCCTATGATCATTTATCTGGTTGCAGTAAAGACCCTGGTTATGTGAAAACATCGGGAGGTATAAGAAATGGTGCCGATGCCGAGGTATGCCCACAAAATCATTACAAAATACACCCTTGATGGGAGACCACAAGTACTAAGTGGACTTGGAGGGTGTTTGGATGTGCGTTTTCAAAGTGATTATTGTGACGTTAAAGAATCAGAACCAGATAATGAGCTGCAACAAAGTGATTAGAATTGGGGATAGTCAAGTAATTTTACATTTAAACCTCAAAAGCCAGTTTTGTTGCACCAACTTTTTGCTACCCACTAAAAATCCAACTATTTTGGCCGTAAAAAATCAGAAATCAGAACCAAGATCGAACTTTTGGCCCTAAAAAATTGCAATAATCCGGTGTCCAGCACATCTAATCACCTCGTTAATCACACCAATCACAACGAATATCAAAATTTATGACTGCTGTTATTCATATCAAGACCCTATATTTTCTTTCCTTTGATTCTCATTTAAATAATGCCTCAAATTGGTCTTAAAACTGACAACTATAGATCTGAATCGTGTTGATATTATACAGGGTCCTTTGTTGACTATTGATCTGACCAACACCTCTCATTGGACCGGAAATTGGTCTCAACTCTGTCCTACTTGCAAGGTTCATAAAATACATTCTTTATTCTAATTCTTTATTATCAGAAACAGCCTCTTTGTCGGTATATCTTATCTCCATACCCTACGTCTGGGTGGGATATACCGGGTTTGTTTGGTTTGATTTACCTGCTTTCTTGATCAGCAATGCTATACTTACTGGTGCTAAATCGCGAACTGTAAACTTGCATACTCTCTTTTCCACAGATAATAAGACCGGTTCGCTCCAAGCATTGTCCTACATGCAAACGCTGCGTGGAACAGTTTGACCATCATTGCCCATGGATCTCCAATTGTGTGGGAAAGGTACTACTTGCTACCACCCAACAGGATATTCTTTCCATTTCTGTTGCTACAATTTTGAAGATCAGCTCAGTTATTAATTACATATAGTCGTTATATGATCAACCAATTTCACAAAAAAAGTGAATATTAGTGTGTTGGTTAATCTTTTATCGTAGATATTTGCATATGCGTGTACCATTAGAGTAAAACTTTAATGTAAAACACCATGCAAATAGAGGCAAAAAAACCTTGTTCACAAACTTTAGTGGGTGTGTTTGGTATGTGGAATAGGACTAGACAGAACAGAACAAATTATTTTTCTCCCATGTTTAGCGCGACGTTTACCTCACTCTCGTCCGTCCGGTCCAGTCATGTCCTGTTCTGTCCCCGTAACTAAGGGGCCGTTTACCCAAGAGCACCACCCTCATTTACCTTATTGGGTAACATTCTTGGCCATCAAAATGGATTGTCGGTAAGCGCTTATCGGGTAAGACTCTTCTCCCTCACTTGTCGGCTAAGGTTTTATGTAATTATCATGCTCACCCGAGAGGTAAGCGACACCTAGAAGCGCTTGCTCAGTAAGCATTTGGTGAATGGCCCCTAACACTCCCAAATAGAACTGGGACCTACCGAAGGTTTGGAGGTTGTTTTCTTATCCTTTTCTCACACATACGTATATGAATGTGTATGTATTTGATCTTTTTTAAGAAACTGGTTGGCGTATTATTACAATTGCTTTTCTTTATCCTTCTTTTTGCAGAAGAATAAATGGGATTTTTTTGTATTCCTATTATTGGGAACTTTGACATCGTTGATAAGCTCCGTGGTCGCTGTTCACAGTACGTAAAACAATAATTCACCGTCACCTGTATTATCCTTATGCTCTTAGGATATCATTCTATTCAAAATTACATCTTTATCGCATAAAATGACAGGAATGTGGACATCTATACCAGCATTGCAAAGCGAAGAATCTTGGATTCATCATGTCGTTTTTCAACATCCGGGTGCTGCTGTCTTTCTTTTTATCGATTTCCTGATCTTGATTGTTGCTGGAACTTTGATCTTGATACAAGGATACCAGGTGAACTGATCATTCTTTTATCTATCGAAGTTTATAAAAATAACCATCTTTGAATATTTTGATGGTTGTTCTGAAACCTCATACAACCGCCATTTCTTTCCTAATTCCCGTAATTTCCGTAATTCCCTTGAGTTAAAGCAACCACGAAAGGGTAAGTTTTGCAGTTCTGATGAAGGGTATTTTAGTCAATACAGTTTGTAAGATTGGATGGCTATTAAAACAGGGTTTAGGCTACATTTGTCAAACTAGTTGATAAGCTAGTTATCGGCTCAGAAACTAGCTATTGGCTAATACACTGTTGATGAACCAACCATGTGTAGTAAAATGACCGAAAAGGAAATACGTTGAAACGTTTTTTTGAAAAATGTAAAGGGCATGTTTGGAAAAACCCTGAAACTTATTGAAAAGCTACTTGAAGTAGCTTTTCAAGAAACTAGTTTATAACCAATCAAATGGGGCTTTGTCAGTAAGCTAGCCTATGGTTGTCTTGAAAGATAAAACATGAGCATATCTCTTTTGCTGATCTTGAATAACGAGGGTCGATTTTCTGAATGCAGATTAGTCGAAACATAACAACAAACGAATCAGTAAATGCTACACGATACGGGTATCTTCAAGGAGCAGATGGTAGGTTTCGTAACCCATATAACCACGGGTGGGTCAAGAATTGTTCGGACTTTCTAATTCGAGGCTATACAGATGATGATGACATTGCTTGGCCTCCATTGCAACAAGTTGCCAGATAGTAGTAGTTATCATGTATACCCTTTCAATAATACCATACTTCAAATTTTTTCACAGAAGTTTATTAGGAGAACATTAGCTCTTGGATTTTGTAGAGAATAGAATTGTAAAAAAAGAAAGGTTTAATAGACTTTTGCTCTTGTTGTTTCATGTGAATTATTGCTATTGGTGCTTATTAATGAAAATATTATTATATTATTCATTGAATATTTACATGACACGTCATGTTTTGCATTGTGTTCTCTGATTTCGGAAGAAAAGAAAAAAAATTTCATTTGCCCTTGTGGCCACAAAGGTTCAAATGCTGTGACTCCAGACTATTTGCAAAGTAGGTGGTCGTTCTGAGAATAGTCGGCTTGCATAGCTGGTTGGATATCTGAGTTAATAAAAAAAAATTGGGCATTTATTAAGTCCCAGTTTCTAGAACAATTTTAATCCTAGGTCCGGTTTTTTGTTGATGCTTTAGGTGTACTGTTTCCTCTTCTCATCTCCAAAGCTCCAACCCTTATTTTTTTTTCTGTTTTGTTCAAATCTTGGTCTTTTACCCAATATGTCTTTGCTCCTTTTCAGGATGATGCTTTAGGTTTTGATGGATGTGAGTCTTGCCAATTCACTTCTATAATGACTTTTTTGGTAAGTTTTTGTATTATGTTCATGTCGATGGCCTAAATTTTCTGACGGATTAAAAGTTTAAAACCTTAAGGGGCGGTTTGGTTTGTGGAATTCGAATGACAAATTCTTTTGACCAAATTCTAATTCCTTTGTTTGGTTCATTTCTTGAGATAGACGGAATCCTTCAAATTCCATTGAATTCCACAAATTAATGAATTTATCATTCCTTGGCATAATGGAAGGAATTGAATTCCTTCACCATCCACCACAACCATGCTACTATTGTTGGTCATGCCCCATCCCTAACCCCTCACAACACCACGGCACTACTACTGTCGCTGCCACCCATCCACCCTACCCCACCACTAACCACTATGCCACTACTGTTGTCGTCACACCTACCCACCCCCGGTCACTCACTGCATATCCCTACATCGACCATGCTACTACCGTTATTGTCACACCCCTAACCTAACCCCCACCACCACACCATTATTATTACTGTCACAATTGCCACTCACTCCCACCCCAACCCTCCACTAACCACCATGCCACTACTGTCGCCGTCATACCCACCCACTCCCAGCCACCACCGACCACCATCCCAACATAGTCGTCGTCACAGCTACCACCCCGCCACCATCCCCACCGCCCTGCCCTG